TTTTCAACTCCTATTAACAGATAGACTAGGAGTCAAAATTAACAAAATAATCCCTACAAACAAGCTATACAGTTTCAACAACTCAAACAACTAAAGAATGATTTAAATTTTAGAATCTTCCGTTCAACACTCCCCCTCAAGTTGGTGCATGTATGTCAATCATGCCCAACTTGTTGATTGCTGCTTCGAATGCCTTCCCAGACACTGCCTTTGTCAAGACATCTGCTAACTGCTCTTCGGACTTTACATGTGGGACACAAATAATTTTTTGATCTAATTTTTCTTTAATAAAATGTCTATCCACTTCAACATGTTTGGTCCTATAATGTTGGACAGGATTATGGGCAATTTCTATGGCTGCCTTGTTGTCACAATGAAGGGTCATTGGATGCTCATGATTGATTTTCAAGTCTTCCAGCACTCTTTTAACCCATATCAATTCACATACTCCGTGTGTCATTCCTCTAAATTCTGCTTCAGCACTGGACCTTGCTACCACCTTTTGTTTCCATGCTTTTCCAAGTTACTAAATTCCCCCTACAAATGTAAAGTACCCTGAGGTAGACTGTCTACTAGATTTGTCCCCTGCCCAGTCAGAGTCTGTATACCCTTCAAAGGTGTAATTATTTCCTTTTGAGAACAGTAAGCCTTTACCTGGTGACCCTTTGAGATATCTCAAGATTCTATAAACCGCATTCATATGATCTTCACTGGGAGCATGCATGAATCTACTGACTACACTTACTGCATAAGCAATATTCGGTCTTGTATGTGACAAATAAATCAGTCTTCCCACCAATCTCTGATATTTGTTGATATCTGTTTCAATTTGATCCGGATACACTCCTAGTGTATAATTCATCTCAATTGACGTATCAACTGGTTTGCAAGTAAGCATGCCAGTTTCAGCAAGCAAATCTAAAGTGTATTTCTTTTGTGATAAGGAAATTCCTTTGTTGGATCTACCAAATTCAATTCCAAGTAAGTACTTCAGATTTCCAAGGTCTCTCATTTCAAATTCAGTCTTAAGATATTGCTCTAATAAATTCATTTCACATTCATCATCCCCTGTTAGAATCATATCATCAACATATACTATTAAAACTGTCACCTTCTTCTCTTTGTGTTTGATGAACATAGTGTGATCTGAGTTGCTTTGAGTATATCCAAACCTCCTCATTGCCATAGTGAACCTTCCAAACCATGCCCTGGGTGATTGCTTAAGGCCAAACAATGCCTTTTTTAGTTTGCAAACTTTGTTATTTTCTGGCAGATTTCCTTTAATTCCAGGTGGTATGTCCATGTAAACCTCCTCTTCTAAATCTCCATTCAAGAATGCATTCTTCACATCAAACTGTTTCAAGGGCCAATCTTTGTTGACTGCAATAGAAAGTAAGATCCGGATTGTGTTGAACTTAGCTACCGGTGCAAAAGTTTCTTGGTAGTCAATCCCATATTTTTGAGTGATCCCCTTAGCAACCAACCAAGCTTTATACTTGTCTATACTCCCATCTTCTCTTAATTTGATCGTAAACACCCATTTACATCCTATGGTTTTCTTTCCCGGTCGTAGATTCACGAGCTCCCATGTGGAATTTTTTTGTAATGCTTCCATCTCCACATTCATTGCTTCTTTCCATTTTGGGTTGTCCAAAGCCTCCTGCACACAGTTAGGAATAGGTATACTGGACAACAAATCAGTAGTCAAGGCATATGATTCGGATAATCTATGGGTAGACACATAATTATTTATGGGATATCTCACTTTAGACCTGGGGTCAGGTTCATAAAGGGTTTTTGGGATGCCTTTGGTGCATCTTTGTGATTTTCTGGGTTGAGGATTAGAAGGGGATGCAGATGCAGATATATCTGTAGGAGCAGAGTTAGGAATTACCTCTGTATGTGAGTTAATTTGTGGTTCAGAAACCTCCACTGATGAATCCTCGGTTATGGGTGTTTGTGTGGGTGATGTAACCACTTGTGATGTGTCTGATGCTGCATCATGGACAGCAGGCAGTGTAGATTCGGTTGCTTCGGTTGCTGGTTCAGTAGGGGCAGCAAGTTCAGCATGTGAGATATAGGAGAAAAACTCTTCTTCTCCATGATTATGCATATGTTTCTCCCCTTGAGAAGAAGAGGGAGACACTCCCCCTGAGTAGTAAGGGGTAGATTCCCTAAAAGAGACTTCCAAGGTGACATAAAGCTTATGGTTAACTGGATCAAAACATCTATACCCTTTTTGGGTGTCAGAATAGCCCACAAAAATACACCTTTTTGCACATGGATCCAATTTATTTCTTAAAGGCTTAGGAATATGCACATAGACACTACAACCAAACACACGGGGCTCAAGATTTGAAAGATGAGGGCTGGAAAAAAAAGATTGAAGTTTCTGGTAAGGTGTTTGGAAGTCTAAAACTCTAGAAGGAGTTCTGTTTATTAAATAAGCTACAGAAGTAACAGCCTCCCCCCAGTATGACCGAGGGACATTCATATCAAATAGAGAAGCCCTAACAACCTCCAATAAGTGTCTATTTTTCTGCTCAGCTATCCCATTTTGTTGGGGTGTGTATGGGCAGGAAGTTTGATGCCGAATCCCATTAGTTTGGAGGAAGGAAAGGAAAGGAAAGAGGAGTTCAGATATTCAGTGTCATTATCGGATTGAAGAGTTTGAATTGATGTGTGATATTGTGTGTGAACCATGTTGTAAAATTTTTGGAAGGCAGGAAATACTTCATTTTTGTGTTTTAAAAGAGCTACCCAAGTCATACGGGTACATTCGTCAATGAAAGACACATAATAAAGAGATTTAAGAGAAAGAAGGAACTTGGGCAGGGCCCCATAAATCAGAATGCACAACTTGAAAAGGAACAACACTTTTATTTATACTTGGAGAAAAAGAAATTCGGTGGCTCTTGGCCAGTTCACAGATGTTGCATTGGGACACATCTTTATTGAAAGCAGTAAACAAACTGGGAAACAACTTCCTAAGATAATTAAAAGAAAGATGACCTAGACGCCTATGCCATAGCCAGACAGAATCTTCAGCCTGCTGCGAAGTAGTTGTGGCAGAAACACATTCCAATTGTTGGCCACCTTGCGGAGTAGCTTCAAGCACATAGAGCTGACCTTGTTTAACACCATAACCAAGTATCATCTTTGTGGAGATGTCCTGAAATACACAGAAAGTTGGCCAAAAAGTGATTGTGCAATTTAAGGTAGCAGTAATTCGACTCACAGACAACAGATTAAATTCGAGGGAAGGAACAATGAGGACAGAATCAAGAGATAAAGTATTGGATAAAAAAATGGAACCTTGACCAGTGATGGGGGAGGTACCACCATTAGCCGTGGAGATCACAGATTACGAGGAGGGGCCAATATTGGTGAGCTACCTGGAATCTCGAACCATATGATCTGAGGCTCCTGTGTCTATAATCCAGTTGGATTTCCAGAAAGTGTGGAGAGGGCTTGTGGCTTACCCAAGATGCTGGCGGAAGCAACATTTGCAGTGGGAATGAGTGCATCGGATCCTCGCCCAAGTGTCTTTTTTCTGGGTCGCTTGGAGAAATCCCACCAATCGGGGTAGCCAACCAATTCATAACAGCGTTGTTGAGAGTGGCCCTTCTCACCACAATGAGAGCACACATAAGAAGGTTTCTCTGGTTTGTTGCGATGAGAAGGAGCATGAGGTCCTGGGCGAGGGGAAAGGGTGGTCAGAGCAGAACTCTCAGGGGATTTATGGTGCCCCATGGTGAGGCGTTGCTGAGCCTCTCTTCGTACGCATACGTAGGTGCCTTCAAGATCCAATTTTGGATCCTTGCGCAAAATTTCCCCTCTGACCTGATCGAATTCAGAATCTAATACACTCAAAAAAATATGGACTCGAAGGCGAGTCATTGCAGAGTGCAAATGAAGAACACCATCAACCGTGTTTGTCTGGGCATGGAGGCGGTGATCAATTTCCTGGAATATGGACAGAAGTTCATTGTAATACGTGGACAGAGGGCGACCCATTTGCTTCGTGTGAAAGGAGCGTTGGTTAAGCTCGAAGAGACATGTTTCGTCTGAATCGTCGTAGAATGTTTGCTTGGCCGCATCCCAAATATCCTTTGCAGTGTCGAGACGAAGAAAGCGTTGCATGAGAGGGGGGCTCATAGAATCAATGAGCCAAGCCTTCACCTTCTTGTTGTCAGTAACCCAAGTAGCATAGCTCGGGTCATCAGGAGGTGGTTTGGGAGTTTCACCGGTAAGGAAGCCACCCTTATTGCGAGCACCAATGCACATATCCAGCAGTTGTGACTAGAGATGGTAGTTGGTTTCATCTAGAATTATGGTGACAGGGAGGGAAGAGTTATCTTGTTGGAGAATTATATTCTGAGAAGAGAAAGGAGGTACCGGCGTGGAAGAAGAAGTAAGTGGGGTATGAGGGATTTCGTCTTCGTTTTCCATTGAGAAAGAGGGATTAGGGATTTAGGAGGATGAATTTGGGGAAAGTGAGAAGGATACAGACACGTGGATGAGAAGAAGAAATATGGGGTGTACGCGTGGAAAAAGAAAGTGACGTGATGGAGAGAAGGAGAAATAAAGAAGAAAGAAAATTGGGTGGGTGGTGGAAAAAATTGTGACCAATATGAGACACAAGGAACAGGATCAGAACACTGCTCTTGATACCATGTCAAAATAAACTAAGACTTCTAAAATGCAATTCTCGTATATTCATTTACCTCAATAGAGGAGTATATTTATACACCAGTAACCAACTACCTCCTATTTTTCAGCTCCTATTAACAGATAGACTAGGAGTCAAAATTAACAAAATAATCCCTACAAACAAGCTATACAGTTTGAACAACTCAAACAACTCAAACAACTAAAGAATGATTTAAATTTTAGAATCTTCCGTTCAACACTATGTGATTGGGGAGAGAGAAAAAAAAGTAACTTTTCAGGTTTACACAAAGTATGACCGGTTATACTTTGTATAAATCACCTAAAAGTACACAAGCTTGTGTCCTTTAAAATAATACTTTTTTTCCAAAAAAAAATGGATTAGACAAAAAAAAGAGGTCCATAATAATCAACACTTGCAAAATTTGCATTTCTCCAAGCTTGTTTTCCATATTTTTCTTAAGAGGAAAATAGTATACATTAAACATGTATTCTAATTTTATCTAATTTAAGGACCAAATGTTTTAAATTGAGGACCACATTATATAATCTAATGTACCTGTAAAATCGAAATTGTTGCAATTGTCACATCACACGTCGATTGTATTCTGAAAAAAAAAATTCGGTTTTTTTTATTTAAACGATGCAGCTAAATGTTAATTTCAACTACAGTTGGTTCTAGCTTATTCAAGAAGACTCAACGTGTAAGTCCTCACTTGTGCCTTTCATTTCTTTGATGTAGCAAGTAATGGCTTTTCCTTTTGGTTTCTAACTTTTTCTGATAAAATACCCATAATGTTCTTTTGCAGCTCTCACAATTACCACTATGAGTTTTCGGTGCCCTTCATCCCAACCTGGCTTGTGAATTAGCCTTAAGAACTATTTAGTCCGAAATTGGAATGATTCTTTTTTTTATTTTATACAATAGTGAAAATTAAATACATAATCTAATACAAATTACTCAAACTTCTCACCACTAGACCAATCAGTGGCGGAGCCATGTTGGTGCTTATAGAGATTGGCTAATTTAGTCACGTTTCAAGCGTAGTTAAATAAACGTAACGAATCATGTTTCAATTTTTTTAAAAATTAGTCATGTTTTAAACGTAAGTATCGGCTAAATTTTTTAGTATCGGTTAAAACGCCTTGCTGGCTCCGCCACTGAGACCAATGGATTTAGAATGATTCTTTTGATTTCATGCAAAATTGACTTCCACTTCATCTGGGATATATTGTGCTTTGTCATTACATGGGATTGTTGAGTGCATTTATACATCTCAATGATATTTTTACAAGAGTTAACATATTTTTATTTTTTTGTGATAATAATTTTAAATTTGATCCTTATATGAAAATATTCCTAACTCAATCTTACGCGTATAATCATTTTTAATTTACTAATTACTGTTTATAATTATTATAATACCATCAATAGCACTGTGTAATTGAGTTTTACAAAGAGCATGTGGGCAGTGCTTATGTATTAAAATCTCGCAAATCTAGCATCGTGCTTGACAAAATGAATAAAGTGTATAGAAGATGCCAGGATTTGAATAATAGTAAAAGAAACCACTTAATATATAAGGTCAATTCAAGAATATGAATGTTATGAAGTTAGGATTCATGAAAATCTTTGTCCGAAATTAAGAAAGATAAAAGAAGGGATTGATTTGAAGTTTCATAGGAATCTAATAGTTTTCAAACGACTTAACCTTTTCAATGAACTGTGATCTTTCTTTTTAAGATATGCACGTTTTGGTCTTGAAATTTTTTAACATGCTTATCTCGTGAGATATTAGAAACAATGAAGCAGCCGACATGATTATGGTATATGAATTCTCCATGGCTAACATCAAGCTTATCTATATGCTGCTTCCCATTCAGCTACATATAATTTTGTGGTGTGTTAGCTGCTGATAATATCATGAACCAAAATTAATCAACATATATACAAAAGGGATATATCACTCTGTCATGAACCGGTTTTCTTCCCATAAATGTGGGTCGAAATATCAACGTTCAAGTCTTAATCTCTTTGGTCGCTTTCAGCTTCCAATCATTCTATCTTCTTTCCTTCGTGAAATATGAAAAGAATTAATTATCAGACAAGGAGGTTTCCAGAATGTAGGTCGTGACCAAAGCATGAGCTTTTGAAAATGACTTTCACGTGTATCAATTTTTTTTGTTTGAGTGCATTAAATTTTAACTTTGGAATGAAAACAAGTTGGTTGATACAAAAATTAATTCCCTACTTTAAGAGTCGGCTCAAGTGGCAATTACGAACCCCAAATTCAATTGCTAAAAGTGCAAGAGCTCGACTCTAGGACCTTTGGGACCATAACTAAATGATTGACGTGCTCGATTCGATATTAGTTTCATTACCTGGTTTATTTACCCGGTTCGAGTTGATTAATATAATAAATAACATTCATACAAAAATAAGAGATAATTAGACTACATTCTTAGCAATAAATTTTGTGCTACTACAATACATATGTTTAAAATTAATAATGAAGTCCTTCTTCATTAAGTTTTAGGTCCTACAATAATTTTATGTAAATCTTTTTTTTAGATGCATGTCCATAAATAATTTTAATGCGCATCTACCATTTCCCTCTGTTTCTAATAGAGTAATAGCATAATTGTTGGTTTACCGTCTGGAACTCTAAAATTTTGTTTGAGGCCAAAAGTTAATATAAGAGACAAACTTTTACTCAAATCACGATTTAAAACTTTCCAAAAGAAAAACAAAACATATATGCAGTTAATGTTTGGTGAAAAAACTTTGAAATCATGTTAATGATATCATTATTCTAAAAATTTGAACTTACTAGATCTGAGTTTTATATATATATATTAAAATTATTTCTGCAACCTCTTTACGTACAACAACGACAAGTGTATGGTTATGATTTTTCACATTTATTACTTTCATCCTTTGTATGGTTATGATTCCCCGCATTTAATGCTTTTAAGCATATATATGACAAGTATTTGATCGTTACACGTATAACAACTGCAGAAATATAACGTACAGCAACGACATGTGTATGGTTATGATTTTCCACATTTATTACTTTCATCCTTTGTATGGTTATGATTCCCCGCATTTAATGCTTTTAAGCATATATATAACAAGTATTTGATCGTTACACGTATAACAGCTGCAGAAATATAAACCCCCTGTATATATATATATTTGGTACAAGAGAGTTATATTTTTATTTAACAAAGTCTGAAGAGTGATAAGAAAAAAATATTATATGGTTTTTAAGTTTCACCATGTTGTTGTATTTCATTATTCTAAAGATATTATACGCAGTTAATGTTTGGTGAAAAAAATTTGAAATCATGTCAACGATGTCATTATTCTAAAAATTTGAACTTACTAAATCTGACTTATATATACGGTAAAATTATTTTTACAACCGCTTTACATATAGTAACGACAGATGTATGGTTATAATTTTTCACATTTATTACTTTTATCCTTTGTATGATTATGATTCTTCGCATTTAATGCTTTCAAGCATACATATGACAGATATTTGATCGTTGCACGTACAGCACACAGCCGCAGAAATATAAACATATATATATGGAAAGAGTGCCTTGTGAAGAAACCAAAAAGAAACAACCAAATGCAGAGCCCCACTAGACTTGGAGGCCCTTGT